GATCCTGCAATCCCTGCATCCTCCCCCCACGCCACACCCCTCCCCAACTCAAAGCAACCACCAGCCTTTCTGTCTCTGTGGACTTGCCTACTCTGGACAGTTCAGATAAACGGGATCACACAATATCTGCTCTTTCCTGACTGGCCGCCTTCACTAAGCATAGTGTGTTCAAGGTTCATCCATTTTGTAGCATAAATGAGTACTTCATTCCTTTTATGGCCAAATAATTTCCTCTTGTACGGACAAAACACATTTTGCTTACCATTCTTCAATCGAAAGATACTTGCATTGTCTCTACTTTACGGCTGTTAGGAACACTGCTACTGTGGGGATTTGTATATATTTTTGCATAGACATATGTTTTTATTTCTCTTGGGTCTGTACATAAAAGAAACTTTACTGTAAGGTCACAGTTGCTGACCCTGCTCTAACTTAACTCTTTTTAACTTTTTGAGGAACTGCTGGCCAGTGACTGCTGCTGCCGGTGAGGGACAGGGAGGTATTTAGTGATGTGCTGAAGCAAATGTAGAGCTCCAGGTTCAGATGGCTCATCTTCTGAACTGTCAGATTAGTTCACTGCGGTGAGGTGGGGGGACGGAGGGGCGTGTGGAGCTAAATAATTTAATGGGCAAGTGATTTTGAATATTAATTTTGATTAAAAGTAATTATAGGTATATTATATATAGTAGAATGCTAAATTTACAAAACATTCCAAGCAAAACAAAAGACCTCAGAGACCTTTGAATACTTGGAATACCTAGAGTTATAATTATTCACCCCTGGTCAAGTTTGGGAAATATTGAAAATAAAATTTAAAATAATATTAAATGTCAGTTTGTGGTTCAGATGATTGTATACATATTTTTCGCTTTAAGAATTCCATAGTTGGGCGACCCCTGTTGTACAGTGGTTACAGCGCCAACCACATGCACCAAGAGTGGCCAGTTCGAACCCGGCCTGGGCCAGCTAAACATCATTGACAGCCGCAACAACAACAAAAAAATTAACCAGGCGTTGTGGTGGGTGCCTGTGGTCCCAGCTACTTGGAAGGCTGAGGCAAGAGAATTGCTTAGGCCCAAAAGAGTTTGAGGTTGCTGTGAGCTGTGACACCATGGCACTCTACCGAGGGCAACATAGTGAGTCTCTATCTCAAAAAAAAAAAAAAAAATCCACAGTTAGGCCAGGCACAGTGGCTAGGGCCTGTAATCCTAGCACTCTAGGGGGGGCTGAGGCAGGTGAATAGCTTGAGCTCACAAGTTTAAGACCAGCCTGAGCAAAAGCAAGACCCCCATCTCTACTAAAAATAGAAAAAAAAACTGAGGCAAGAAGATTGCATGACCCCAAGCGTTGGAGGTTGCTGTGAGCTATGACACCATAGCACTCTACCCAGAACAACATAGTGAGACTCTGTCTCAAAAAAAAAAATTTAAAAAAAAGAATTTCATAATCACTTTGGTTATCAATAACCAGGTTCTAATTATGAATTTGGAAATCATTCTAAATAGGAATTTGGTAATTAAACTGTTGCTCTTTGCTCCTCCAGGTGCGGTACAAAAGGTTTCTAAAAAATTAGAAATGCACGTTTATAGCAAGAGGTTGGAGATCATGCTTCAGTAAGTTTTTCTCCCATTGTTGCTCAACAAGTAGTGAGGATGGGGAGGAGGAGCCCTGGTTTCAGCTGGACTCACTCCAGGACTCTGGAGTGGCTCACAGACCAGGCCAGCCCACTGCCCTGGGGCCTGCTTCTCCCTCAGGAAAGAGAAGAAGTTTTGAACCACAGCTCATCATGCCAGCCTAGTTCAAGTACATGCCATCTTCCTGGTCAGCCATTTGGGTTTTCTTGAATATATTACCTTAGGTTATCCTCCCAGGACTGGTGTAGTCAGCAAAGTTTAAAATATTATCATCAAGGAGATATACTAAAATCTCAGCTGATAGTTAATGTGCCTTTAAGAACTATTTCTATGGCTCTGTGCCCATAGCTCAGTGAGTAGGGCACCTACCACATACACAGAGGCTGGCGGGTTCAATCCCTGCCTGGGCCTGCTAAACAACAATGACAACTGCAACCAAAAAAAAAGAAAAAAATAGCTGGGCATTGTGTCAGGTGCCTATAGTCCCAGTTACCTGGGAGGCAGAGGCAAGAGAATTGCTTAAGCCCAAGAATTTGAGGTTGCTGTGAGCTATGATGCCATGGCACTTTACCAAAGGTGACATAGTGACACTCTGTCTAAAAAAAAAAGAACTATTTATATATTTACTAATAAAATGAGGATTCTTCATTAAGAATGGCTTTCTTCTAGACTCTTCCCAAAACAGTAAGTCTGTAAACTATGAGTTACATTTTAAAGTTGGTATTTTTCTGAACACCAGAGATTAGGTCTTTTACCTTTCTGCAAGTGCTCTTTGAGCTTGATTTCTGAATGTTTTTCCAAATAAAATAATCATGTAAAACTACCTCATAGTGAATAACTACAGTTTAAGCTTATATATTACACCAAAAAAGGAAAAATAAAAGATTTGTATTTAGATTTCTAATTTCCATGTCTAGCACAGTTCCTGGTACATAGCAATCTCTCAAATACCTGCTGAATAAATAAATGACTGTTTCTGGTTTTAAAAGCAAAGTTACTTAATTAGACATCTTAACAAAATAAGGTGTTGGCCAGGAGTGGTGGCTTGGCCTGTAGTCCTAGTGCTGTGGGAGGCTGAAGCTGGTGCATTGCCTAAGCTCAGAGGTTCAAGACCATCCTGAGCTGGAGTGAGCCAGAGCGAGACCCTGTCTCTACTAGGCATTGTGGCGGGCACCTGTAGTTCCAGCTACTTGGGAGGCTTAAGGGCAAGAGAATCGCTAAAGGAAGAAAAGAAAAAAAAATTTTAAAAACCTTCAAACTAAGATGAGTGAAAGCCAGTTGAAATCAAAATTCAAAAAAAAAAAAATAAGGCGTTGTACAAATTTAGAAGGGTTGTATGTTAATATTTCTGTGTCTTCCCTTTCCCTAAATTCTACCCAGATAATCTTTTTAAAGCAGCCATGTAGTGGCTTTTAAAAAAATAGATAATAGCCATTTTTTATTTATTTATTTTTTTTTTTTAGAGACAGAGTCTCACTTTGTTGTCCTTGGTAGAATGCTGTGGCGTCACAGCTCACAGCAACCTTCAGCTCTTGGGCTTAGGCGATTCTCTTGCCTCAGCCTCCTGAGTAGCTGGAACTAACCACAATACCCGGCTATTTTTTTGTTGCAGTTTGGCTGAGGCTGAGTTCAAATGTGCCACACTTGGTATATGGGGCCAGAGCCCTACTCACTGAGTCATCGGTGCCGCCCGATAATAGGCTTTAAATGGAGATTTCACTTACAGAAGCTGTCACACATCTTCAAAATCATTCAGGCTGTTGTCATTTGATTTTTTTAATGCTTTGTTGTCATACAGAACCAGCTAGCAGTAGGAACAGTGATTTCCAGTGTCACTGAAAAGGCCACAGATTTGGTTGCGTCCCAGCCCTGTGGCTGTGGTAGCCCCTGGGGCTCTTATTATTTTTGCAGAGAGCTTTATTCTGTCACCCTTTGAGTCTGAGTCACTGATCCCTTTGACAGGAAAGCCTAGGGGATACACATGCAGTTTTACCTTTGATTTCAAGGTTAGACAACCCCCCTGCCCAAAGCCCCTCTTGGGACCTCAGCTACAGAGCCCTGTGTAGGAGATGGGTGTCGGTGCCCCCCGTGCTCCCCTGTGCCTAACCAGAATAGCTGTGCACAAGCAGCCCTGTTCCCAGAGGTGCTGCAGAAATAGAAATCCTGAGGCTCCTTGGAATGGCCTGGCTCTCCCAGGTACAGCAGCAGGATGTGCAGAACAGAGGGACATAGGGCCTCAGCTGTCTGCTCAGGTGTAGAGGGCAGTCTGCAGGAGGCTGCTGGTCCTTCCACACTTTCCACTCTGGCTTCTTCCCAGTCCTATGACTTCAGTCCTATGACTTCACTCCTGTCCCTCTCCCCATGCCCTCCCCCAGACATCCCCGACTATTCAACTGTTAGGACTGAGAGACAGAGAGCCACTACTCCCATTTACTCATGAATGCAAGATACCAGTGTCTATAAACTGCCAGGTCAACCATGCCCTTATAAAGTAGCTTTATCTTCACAAATGTTTGAATTCTTAGGTTGTATGGAATAAAAGTATTAGTTTTTTTAGATGCCAATAGTTGATCACACAAAACTGGAACCTTTTCTTTCTATCCTTTTGTATGCATTTCTGTATTTAAAATACATATTTTTCTTTAGTACTAGGTTACTTAGCCAAGTTGAAACATACTATTAACATTAACTGCCTGCAAGAGCAAGCAGGTGGTCACTGCCACCCCAGGTTAATGCAGTATCTATCAGTGCTTAGCTGACCAGGGGAGGATCATTGTCTTCACGGGTGATTTAGAGTCACTGACTACCTTTTCTTACCTGTACCCAGCCTACTGATTGGACTGCTGTTTTCTAATACTTCTGCAACTAATGGGGATAATGTTGAAATTAATGATTAAACTGGGGCTCCTCAGTGATAGGCAACGTCACTGATGTCTGTATCCTAGCACCTGGTACAGCACCTGGCATATAGAAGACACTCAATAAATACTGAGTTTACATAACTCAAAGCTGGCATTTGGAGGGATGACAAGGGAGATAGCTAGGGGACTTGGGAGCCAGTTAAGTGCAGACACCTGGACTTGGGTAACTCACTTCTCTGTTTCTTCATGTGTAAAGGGGATCCTTTTTATGTAGATTAAGAAAATGTGTATAAAGTGCCTCAGCAATGCCCTTGAATAGATCGTTCTTAACAAATGATAGCTGTGTATTTTACCCGTTTTATAAAATTAATAAGATGTAGACCTCAGGTATAAATACAGGTATTCTGTGTACATTGCAATTAGGACTTCTTTTCAACTTTTCCCCACATATATAAAGCTGGACTCTTCCACTAATATCCCATCTTTGCTTATTTTAAGGGACATATTTGGAGAAGACTGTGTAAGTGTAAAAGACGACTCTCTTCTTAGTGTCACAGTGGATGGAAAGACTGCTAATCTTAATTTGGACACCCGGGTAGGTGGCTGCTCCTCCAAAATCTAAAGACATTTGAAGACCAGGCACAGTGTCTCACACCCATAATCTCAGCACTCTGGGAAGCCGAGGCGGGTGGATTGCTTGAGCTTAGGAGTTGGAGACCCCTACCAAAAATAGAAAAACTAGGCTGGCATTGTATTGGGCACCTGCAGTCGCAGTCGCAGTCCCAGCTACTTGGGAGGCTGAGGCAAGAGGATAGCTAGAGCCCAAGAGTTTGAAGTTACTGTGAGCTGTGACACATGGCACTCTACCCAGGGTGATAGAATGAGACTCTGTCTCCAAAAAAAAAAAAAAGACATTTGAAATAAAGCGACGGCAAAATAATCTATGATCCCATATGGAACAGTTTACTTTTGTATTTTGGAATTTCTTTGCAGCATTTCTTATATTTCTTTTACACAGTTGTATTTATATTATTATATATAAAGTTTTCCATGTTTTTACTCGTTGCTACATAATCCCCATGTGTATTATTCTATTATTTTCCTTTTCCAGAATATGCTTAATTCACCTCAGCGTTTCCCTAGTTTGGCGTCCAGTTGATTATAGATTCTTCTGTTGATAGCAGCAAGATCCAAGTGGCTTTTCCAAACAATAGGGTTTGAGAATGTGGGACCTGTGGTCTTACACCCGCAGATCTTTGATAATTAGTTCCCAAGATGAATGAATAGGTACATCTTCCTTGCAGGGTTATTTTTGAAGATTAAAATAGTTCTAAACAAATAACATTTAAAAAAATTTTTTTGTATGTTCTTCAACTATACAGGTGCTTTGAGAAAACATTAGATTTTTACCTCAATAGAAAAATAAGTGAAGAACATGAATATGAAGTAATTCACAAGACAATAAATATAGATAGCAGTGAACATAAAACAAATTTCCAGATTCACTAACAATTAGAGGACATACATGTTCACAGTGTGAAATACCACTGCTTATCATAACTGGCACAGATTGGAGAGAGTGATAGGACCCAGGGATGGTAAAAGAACTGGAACAGTTACTTGGGTGTTACCAGGGGGAGCAGAGTATAAATTAGGTGGCCTTTTCCTTCTGCATGGCAGTTGGGTAATGTGCATCAAGGCCTTTGTTCACAATTCCACTTACTGTATTCAACCAAAGAAAATAATTAGATGAGCAAAGATACACATACAAAGATGTCTAGTTAGCACTAAAATAATGGCAAGAAATCAAAATATCCAAAAGTAAGATATAAATAACTGAATACATTATATGGCATATCTTTACACAGTGTGCTGGCACACTAGGGGTGCTGGGGCAAGGGATTGGCAGCAGCCTGGGATGGGTGGCAGGCCTTTGAGTGCCCAGATTTGCACATCGAAGGGTTTGGGCAGTTGGCCCTGCACTCACAGAGCTTGTCCTTCAGTAGCTGTGGCCGCAGATATACCACACCTGCTGGCAGGCCAGCCATCCTCCGAGGCTCTTGCACCCATCCTGGCTGTCTAACCAGCTCTGCTATGCCTGTGTATATATAGTTTAAACAGCATATAGTGTTTTGTAATTGAGTTTTAAGAAGTGCCTAGGAGATTGTAATTTTAAATCAAACTGAATGCCAGTATTCCCCCCAAATATGTGCAGTTGTTATGTCAATAAAAAATTCAGTATGAGGGCGGTGCCTGTGGCTCAAAGAGTAGGGCGCCACCCCATATACCAGAGGTGACAGGTTCAAACCCAGCCCCAGCCAAAAAATGCAAAAAAAAAAAAAAATTCAGTATGAAATACTGAGTAAATGACCACATCGACTATTCGCTAAGTACTTTGTGTTGCACAGACTAACTTCCTTGGGATACCATTTATTGGATCAAAATATGGGCTTTGAAGTAAAGGTAATTTTCTAGAATTTTCCCCAGTCTTTGTTCCCCCCTCTCCCCGAATTCATCTCTAATTAGGCCAGTCATTTTGCTACAGGAAGCCTTCGGCACCCCGTGCATGCCCACACTGTGTGGGCGGCTACTCTGCATCTTGGTAATGTGTGCCACTGTTATGTCCACCGGATAGGAGATGGTTATTCTCAAGAATTTTCATTTGTCTTCCATGTAGTAATTACAGACAATTATAATAATTAAAGGCATATTTCTGCTCTTGTTTGCAGACTGTAGAGTGTGAAGAAGGAAGTGAAGATGACGAATCTCTTCGAGAAATGGTGGAACTGGCTGCACAGAGACTGTATGAGGCCCTCACACCAGTTCACTGATAACTTTCTGTATATCTTAAACCTTAAACATTTGATCCTACTTCTATTACTTAAAATAAATTACTTTCTCTGGAGTTGCCTATTTACTTTTGATGTCAAATGGTCTTTATCCCAATAGTTTGAATACTGATAAATTACCAGCTAATTTGTTGATTAGTCTAGAACTAAATACTAAGTAAACTACCCTTTATTTTAGAATGTATTCATTCCGCTTCCAGGCATGTATGCAGCTCTCACTGAAAAAGATTTGCTCTTAGCAACTGAAACAGAATTTGTCTTAACTATACTTATTAAGGAAAGAAAATGCGCAGTGAGTAGTTTATATTTTCATATCCACATTCTGAATTTGAATGAACAGGGATTACCACTTAAAAATGTTAAGCCCCGGCTCGGCGCCTGTGGCTCAATCGGCTAAGGCGCCAGCCATGTACACCTAAGGTGGCAGGTTCGAATCCCCAGCCCAGACCCGCCAAACAACAATGACGGCTGCAACCAAAAAATAGCCGGGCGTTGTGGCGGGCGCCTGTGGTCCCAGCTACTTGGGAGGCGGAGGCAGGAGACTCGCTTGAGCCCAGGAGTTGGAGGTTGCTGTGAGCTGTAATGCCACGGCACTCTACCCAGGGGGACAGCTTGAGGCTCTGTCTCAAAAAAAAAAATGTTAAGCCCCTTTCTGTTGCTTTCCTCTTGATAACTCTTAATTTATATTTTTGTAAAATTATGATTTTCAAGACTCAGTTTTTTTTTGTTTTTTTTGTACAATACACATTTAACTCAGGGGTATTCAGTGTATATATTTCTTTAGGAGACATAGTCTTGCTCTGTCCCCCAGGCTGGTCAGAATGTAATATTTATGATTCAGCAGTTATTCATGTGTCAGTTATTTGTTTCATATGTAAGTGAACTAGGCCAATTTCCAAAAGTATATGTAATTCAGACTTGTTAAGTAACTAGACGGAGGATTGTCTGGTGCTGAGGGAGCAGCCCACTCCACCAGGGGCTGCTTTGGCATCTACTTCAAAGAAAGTGACCTGCTTGCTCCCTCGCCAGAGGGCAGGAACAGGTGCGCTGCTAGTTCCTCCCCTTCACAGCCAGACTCCAGAGTTGACTCTGCTTACTGACAGTCTGTAGTCATCAGGTGTAACAGTCACTAAATTTTACCCACACTAGGTTATCCTCATTTTGCTCACTGCTTATAGTGACAAGTGTTGACCACTCCCCTGCACTTTGATGACAATGTTCAGGGTAAATCTGACCCTGTTACTTGAAATACATTCATTTCTATAAAACAGCCTCTATATTTTGTCTTTAGCTCATACTAAAAGTCTAGGGGCCACCTTCTAAAGTCATAAGGTTTTATAATGTATTTTAAAACTTTTTTTTTTTAATTGAAACAGTCTCACTTTGTTACCCTGGGTAGAGTGCTGTGGCATCACGGCTCACAGCAACCTCAAACTGGGGCTCAAGTGATTCTCTTGCCTCAACTTCCCTAGTAGCTGGGACTATAGGCACCCACCACAACGCCTGTTTTTTTTTGTTGTTTGTTTAGCAAGGCCCAGGCTGGGTTTGAACTCACCAGTCCCGGAACATGTGGCTGGCGCCCTAACCAGTGAGCTATGGGTGCCCAGCCTTTTAAAACATTTTCATGTTGGAAAAATACAATATAGAGGCTCAGTGCCTGTAGCTCTGTGGTTAGGGTGTGGGCCACGTACATCGGGGCTGGAGGCTTTGAACGTGGCCTGGGCCTGCTAAACAATAATAACTACAACAAAAAAATAGCCAGTGTTGTGGCAGGTGCCTGTAGTCCCAGCTATTGGGAGGCTGAGGCAATAGAATCGCGTAAGCCCAGGAGTTTGAGGTTGCTCTGAACTGTGACGCCACAGCACTCCACCCAGGGAGACATAGTTAAGACTCTGTCTCATAATAAAGAAAAAAAAATACAATATGGAATATATATACCGCAAGGAGGAGGAGTGTTCTTTCCCTTATTAACCAACGTGAGTTAATATCCTAAATTCACTCTTGTTGCAGTCATACCCCCCCCCCCCGCCACACACACATACACACATCCCGAATTCCCGCAACAACTTCCAATCCCCTCTCCCTTCGCCTGCTACCTAAAATAACAGATGTGGGCTCAAGCCTCTGCAGCTTAACATAGCACATCGTGCTAAGAAGCCCAAGCACGGTGCCTTAGCAGGTGCTCAATCTGGGCTGCCCGCGGCAACCGCCTGGGCGCGGAGGTTGAGTCAGCGGGTCTTGAGTGAGGGTTCTCTCACGTCTCATTTTTGCAGCTCCTCGGCTCTCACTTGGAGCCTGGGACTTTGAATCCCAGGCCTTTGTTGTACTCTAAGGCTCTGGCATCCTTCCCGCCCGTTTGACACTTCCTCGCACAGTAAAAACGTTCGATATATGATCAAGTTTTATTTAACAGATGAACTCCTTGTAAATGAATCAGCCTTCCACATCGGAACGTTTCTGCATCCCACCCACACGGGGAAAAAAGACACAGAAGTGGGTAGTTGTGTCTGTACTGGACAGGTGGGCTCTTTTCCTTGTCGCTATTCCCTGAAAACAGTGTAGCAACTATGTACATCTCATGTAACACTGTACCGGGTATCATCAACAGAGAGACAGTTCAAAGTATAGGAGAGGCTGTGAGTAAGTCATCTGCAAACATCACCCCTTAACGTCAGCGACGTGACATCCCCGGCTCTGCGGGGATCCTAGATCCAGTCCTGACCGACGACGCGGACGGACTGCACGTCCAACCCGGCCTTCCATTCACATCGCTGCCGCTGGCGGGCCCCGAGTGCTGCTGGCTCTGACGGTGGCTCCAGTGACTTTCCTTTAGGTCGGGTCGTTCTGCGGAACTGCTTGCACCGCCGGCCAGAGCGTAAGCAGGGGTGCGGGACCCGAGGGCCTCCCCACGCCCGGCTTCGCCGCTGCAGCTTCACGGTAAACTAACCAGTGCAGTAGGCCGAGCTTCTTGTAAACTGACAAAACTGAAGTCTCCAACGGCCGGCGACTAGAAAAGCACTGCTCAGGGAACCTCCCGCCCGCACTAGGGAGCCCGCCCGCCGATGCACACCTCCGGGACGGGCAGGGAAGGCCTGCGGCGGCTCCCCGGGTCCCCGGGCCGATCGCCCCGCCCTACCGGTCCCCGGGCCGCTCGCCCCGCCCTTATCGCGCTCCCGGTCCCCGCCCCACCGCTCGCCCCGCCCCTAGCGTGCTCTCGGTCCCCGCCCCACAGCTCGCCCCTCCCCTATCGTTCTCTGGGTCCCCGCCCCACCGCTCGCCCCGCCCGGATATCCGGCTTAGCTCCGCCTGTCAGCGGCCTGACCATGGCGCTGTGCGAGGTGGCTGGTTGCGGGAGCTCTCTGCTCTGGCCTCGCGTGTTGCTTTTCGGAGACTCCATCACTCAGGTACCGCCACTCCGGGGCACGCCCCGGACGCTCGGCTGCTCGGCGCCGCTCGGCCCATCACACCCGCGCACTCCTGGGGCCTCCCTGTGGGGTCCGGCGCTGGGTCCCCACGTTCCTCCGTCACGCGGTCCCTGGGCTTCCCTCCCTGCCCCTGGGAAGGCCAAGGAGACGGGGCTTTTTCCTCAAGCTTGCAGCGGCCTCCAACGACCCCCGAGGAATGGCGAGTCCAGGCCCCCTACAGGCTGACAGCTTCGAGGCCTCCTTTGCATTCAGCCTTGGACAGGAACCCTGCCTGTCCCGGCGGAAGAGGCTACTGACGCGGAAGTCCCGGCAGGGACCACGCTGAACTGCCAAAGGCCGCTTCTCTCCCTTCCTGACCCTTTCCGTGGGGCTCGGGGCGACCTGGGGCCCTGGTGCTTTGTTCCCATTGAGCGTCCCTCGGCGGTGGCTTCCGGGCCCTGAGGGTTCGCCCGTGCAGAGCTTGGAGGCTGCGACCCTTCCCAGTTTTTTATGCAGCCTGTCCATGCAGAAGGCACTTTGAACTAGTTCCCCTCTGCGCCGCGGCTGATGGAACAGGTTGAACGAGCAAAGGTGATTTTTTTTTTTTTTTGAGATGGTCTCGCTCTATTGCTCAAGCTTAGGTGCGGTGGCATAGCCTTAGGTCACTGCAGCCTCCATCTCCTGGACTCTGGCGCTCCTGTGTCTCAGCCTCACCAGTGGACGACGCATTTTGTGTTTTGTAGAGACAAGATCTATCTGTGTTGCCCAGGCTGGTCTCAAAGTCTTGGGCTCGAGTGATCCTCTCACCTGGACCTCTCAAAGCGCTGCCCTGGGATTACAGGTGTGAGCCACCATGCTTGGCAAGGATTGATCTCGAAAATAAAACGGCTTCAGGAATAAAGTAGAAAAAGATGATACGGGCAGCACCCGTAGTTCAGTGGTTAGGGCGCCAGCCACATTCACCGAGGCTGGCGAGTTCCAGCCTGGCTCGGCCTGCTAAACAGCCGTGGCAACTGCAACGGAAAAATAGCCGGGCATTGTGGCAGGGGCCCGTAGTACCAGCTACTTGGGAGGCTAAGGCAAGAGGATCGCTTGAGTCCCCAAGAGTTTGAGGTTGCTGTGAGCTGTGATGCCACAGCACTCTACCGAATGCGACAAAGTGAGACTCTGTCTCAAAAAAAAAAAATATGTTGGGTCATCCAAGATCATCCAAGTTCCCACTAAGAAAAAATTATCCCAAATACCATAGTTTTTACTTTAGGGGAGAAGTAAAGATTATTTTCCTGTGTGTGTGTTTTAAACACTTCTAACACTCAATTATTTTTCTAAGTCAGGTTTTTTATGTATGTATAAATAGTTGGTAACATTGTTTTTAGGCATCTGGAGCAGTAAAGGGCTTTCCACACCTCAAGGGAATGTATATCAAACACAGTTCACGCTATGTTCTATCATTAATAAAACCATGAATTTCTTGCTGCTCGCAGGGTAATGCCTGTAATCCTAGCACTCTGGGAGGCCAGTGCAGGTAGATTGCTTGAGCTCAGGTGTTCAAGACCAGCCTGAGCAACAATGAGACCCAATAGAAAAACTAGCTGGTGTTGTGGCTCGTGCCTGCAGTCCCAGCTACTCAGGAGGCTGAGGCAAGAGGATTGCTGGAGCCGAGGAGTTTGAGGCTGCTGTGAGCTACACCACAGCACTATATTCAGAGTGAGGGAGTGAGACTCTGTCTCAAAAATTAAAAAAAAAAAAGTTAAATAAATAAATAGGCTTGGCGCCTGTGGCTCAAGCAGCTAAGGCGCCAGCCACATACACCTAAGGTGGCGGGTTCGAATCCCCAG